CCCTCCCCCCCACCCCTGCACACACACCCCAGGGCTCAGGCTGTTTACTCAGCTAACCACAGAGGAAGACAAGGTGCCTGTTTTCATACCTTTCACTCACAGCTGCCTGCACCTGCTCCTCCTCACCTCTCAGCTCTGTATTTCCCACCCTGCCCCGGCCAACCCACCTCCCCGTGCAATGCAAAACCAATCGCACTCAACCGACATGGGCTCATAAAGCAATTCTAGAAATGATGAGCCCCCGGGAGGCAGAGGAAGTTACTCTGTTCCCCCACGTCTAGGGTCTCCCGTGAGCAGCAGGTGCTTCACTGGCTCCTGCATGCTTTCCTGCGTGCTGAGCCACTCACTCACTCCCAGTGCTGGGCAAATCCATTCCCCACCTGGGTCACCTCTCCTTCCGGTCCCTGATGCAGGGGGCTCTGTGGGAAGGAGGTGGGGGTACCTGGGTGCAATGGCAAAGCTGTCTGCCACCCCTTCCAGCAATGGCCCTCTGTGCCATCACCTAATGCTCAGGAGGTCTGTCTCTCCACGAGTCTACCAGCTTCCCCACTCTGTCCACTTCCTGCATGAAGGACAGGGTGAGTCCGTTTATACACAGACCCTCGCCGAGAGCTATGGCACACTCCTGGAGTCTAGCTACTTAGGGAGGCCTAGGTAGGATGACAACTTGAGCCCAAGAGTTTGAGACCAACTATGAACACGGCGAGACCTCATCTCAAACAACAGCAAAACAGCCCCGCTCATCAGTGTCCTGTTTAAAGTTCTTTACTGGCTCCTATCACCTGTAAAAAGTTCTATCCCTAGCCGGGCGCTGGTGGCTCATGCCTGTAATCCTAGCTACTCAGGAGGCTGAGATCTGAGGATCGCAGTTCAAAGCCAGCCCGGGCAGGAGAGACTGTGAGACTCCTATCTCCAATAAACCACCAGAAAACCAGAAGTGGCGCTGTAGCTCAAGTGGTAGAGCACTTGCCTTGAGCTGAAGAGCTGAGGGACAGCATCCAGGCCCAGAGTTTAAGCCCCATGACTGAGCAAAAAAAAAAAAAAGTTCTATCTCTTTTGTCTTTGTCTGTATTTTTCCCCTCCAAATTCAAAAGCCACCATGAGAAAAAGCCATTTTCAGGTTAAGGTTTCCCAGTAGAAGAATGGAGTAAGCCAAACTCCTTGTGTTCCAGGCCAGAGGACCATGATCTTTCAGAAAGACCTGAGGGCTTGGGCATGTCCTCTTAGGGACAGACATTCACACACACTGTTCACCTTCCAGCCTATGTGCAGGGCATCTAACACAGTATGAGTGTTGGGACTTCCCTTATGTTGGGACTGCAAGACCCCCTTCTTCCTGCCTTTAAACCAGACCGTGTGGTCAAATACACATAAACTTGGGGGGTTGGGAAGGTGGCTCAGTGGTAGAGCGCTTGCCTTGCATGTATGAGGCCCTGGGTTTGACTCCTCAGCACCACATAAGCAGAAAAAGCTGAAAGTGGTGCTGTGGCTCAAGTGGTAGAGCGCTAGCCTTGAGCTGAAGAGCTGAGGGACAGTGCCCAGGCCCAGAGTTCAGGCCCCATGACTAACAAAACAACAACAACAATGACAACAACAAACTTTTGTTTAAGAAAATGGCTCTAGCTGGGTACTGGTGGCTCACACCTGTGATCCCAGCTCAGGAGGCTGAGATCTAGGAATCATAGTTCAAATCCAGCCCAGGCAGACACATTGGAGAGACTCTTATCTCCAATTAACCAACAAAAAGATGGCCTTTGGTTACTCCAAAATGCATACTCTTTTGAACTGCCAATCCTTATCATCCACTTATATTGCTGTAGGTGCCCTAATCTCCACAGGTTCCTTTCTATTAGTCTCTTGCTTCCGACACTCTCAGGTCTGCAAAACCCTTCCTTTGGTCTGGCCGAACTTTCTACCTTGTTCTAAAGCCTTCTTCAAGCCCACTCCACCCACTGGCCCTCTTGGAATTACACCTGAGCCTGTCTGGGTTCTCTGTAGGGACTCTGCCTTCCTCTTCCTCTTTCTGTTCCCTATCTTGGCTTCTCTTTCCCTCTGGGGAGCTATTTGCAATAGAGTCACTGATATCCTGTTAAATCTCACATCAAGTCAGTAGGTGACCCAGGGGAAAGAGTGCAGTGGGTGGCCCTGGCACAGAATCCAGACTTCTGATAAAGGAGGAGAGATGTAGGGCCTGGGCCGGCTGTGGGGCTAGACTCCACCCACCTTGGCTGAAACTAGAGTCTAGATGTCCTACTGCCCAGGGGAAGGCTTCGGTTCATCCAGACTGATTCAAAGGACTTTCCTAAGACCTGCTCAAGTTTTCATCCTCCAAGACATGCATCCAGGCCAGTCAGCTCATTGCCTGTTTCAAGTCAGTGCTGGGGGCCATTTCCCAGGTACACACCAGTTCCCAGAACCCAGAGGATTGGTTTGACAAGTGCTTACAGAGAGGTAGGTAGTTGGGTACACAGCAGTAGGAGGTGTCAAACAGACGTCCTGGGGGCTCAGGAGGGACGCGTGTTAAAGTCACTTTCCATACACAAGAATTTCAGTATCTGCCCCCACCAAAGACAGAAGCAGAAACAAAAACAAAACAACCCTATGGAGTCAAGAAAGCAATGTTGGCTCTGGCCTAGGGAGGAGAGGAGAAGACTGCGAAACTCCATCAATGGCGCTAAAGGGAACCATTTAGCTCACACCAGAGGGAGCTCAGTGACAGCACCTGGGCCAGGGGCTCACTGGTTCTTGGCTATCAAAGGCAGAGAAACCCAAAGCCTTCAAGTGTGGCACCCAACCTTCCCTCACACATAAGCACAGGTGCTATATATATGTCAACATGTTGGCACAGGCAGACACCCAGCAGAATGTTACCAAAACCAGGCTAGGGACTTGTGTCCCAAAGAAGGAAAGAAAACATGGTGTCAAAAATGAAGTGGCGGGGCTGGGAAGGTGGCTCAGTGGTAGAGCGCGTGCCTTGCATGCCAGAGGCCCTGGGTTCGATTCCTCAGCACCACATAAGCAAAAAGAAAAAAGCCGGAAGTGGCACTGTGGCTCAAGTGGTAGAGCGTTGGCCTTAAGCTGAAGAGCTGAGGGACAGCGCCCAGGCCCAGAGTTCAGGCCCCACGACCGGACCCCCCCCCAAAAAAAAAAATGAAGTGGCCATGGAGAAATTGACTTTGAAAATTGCTGTGAGCACTGGGGCAGGAGTAGGGCCTGGCACAGCACCCAGGGACTGGGAGTGGGGGAGGGGAGAATGGGATGGAGACGTGGAAAGGGTGTGGTTCAGGATGGGATCCGCCCTGGAAGACCTGGGCCCTTCCCTGAACAATAACAGATTCCAGGCCCACGTGATTTCTTCAGATAAGGAGGCTGCCAGCCACCTCTGCCAGCATCGCCTGTTGGGATTCTCTGTCAGCAGGTGTGTGAGGGGAGATGGTGTAGGGGACTCCTGAGATATTTACCCTGGATTTCCTTCTCTTTAGCACTCTCAGCCCTGGGGACAAGGCTGAGACAATAGATTTCTGCATAAGCTAGAACCATGAGACTAAAGTTTCTAGATGGAATTTTAAGGGAGAAAAAAAACAGAGACCTGGGCTACAGTTTAAGACATCAACTGGCTGAGCTGGTGGCACAAGAATATTTCTTGAGAGCCTCTGAATTTGAGACCAGCCTGGGCAATACACCAAAATGCCACCCAAAGTGCACATGCGTACACACACACACACACACACACACACACATGCATACACACATACACATGCATGTAATGCATGTACCAATTACCCACAGACAAGTCAAAGAGAACCTGCTGACAATAGATCATGAGAAAAGCAAAACCTCAAGAGTGTTGACTTAAAGTTTCAGATGAGTTGCTAGTGACGGGGCTGGCAGAGAGCTACAAGTAATTGCCTTCCTTTAGGTGAATCGAAGCCTACTGTGAGAAGACAGAAGATTACCCATGGATTCCAGCCCAGTTTTGTTGGCCTGAACCAGAATGGCTGCTCTGCTGAGTGGTTTAGAAAACCCTGCCCTGGAAGGAAGTTTCCAGGCAGTAGGGGTACGGAGTCCAAGGAAGAGAAGGCCGGACTCTGAGCCAGCTGTCCTCAAGCACTGGCAGGAGCGCCTAAGACAAGAGGGCAGAAATAGACAGGGGTATGAACCCTTATGGGGCAGACCAGGAGGAACGAGAACTTAAGAGGCTGGTGTTTCTGCTCCTGGAGGGACAATTTTCCAACAGACACAACTGGCTGAGAAGAAAGCCTGAGATTCCTGCCTTGCAAAGGAGCCTGGACCTTGCCTTCAAATGCCTCCAGATCGCTCCCCAGCCACTCTGACTCTACGCAGGCTCTTTGGGCAGCTCTACTGCAGCCAGTGAAGTAAGAGCTACTTAGACTCTGCGTCCTAAGGAGGGGTGGGGCTGCTAGCCCAGGGCCTGGCTCACCCACGCCCAACCACAGGCCTCCAAAGCCTGAGTCATGCTGGCATTCATGCCCAGGAGCTGATCTTTGTCGTGCACACGGGGACCCCAGGGGCTCCATCTCCTTTTACGTCTCTATGTGAATATTCCCAGGAATGAGTTAGGACCTGAGAAGGGGGGCTGGCCAGGGCACCTCTCGTCCAGAACCATCTGTCTCCTCCCTCTCCTCCCTCTTCTCCTCTTTCAGGAGCAGGCCTGCCACATCCTATTTTCTTTTCTTTTCTATCAACCCAAGGGTTGTAGCCACTGTACTACTACAGTGTAGTACTACTCTCAATATGGGTCTGGGGGAGATGTTAAGTTACCCCTCACTTCTGCATTGAGTCTTTACCTTTCAGGGCACCCCATCCTGCATGATAACCTCGGCTTGTACTTTGGGGACGGTCATAGTCAAGGCACAGGTGGAGATGTCTCCTTGCAATCTCTTCAGACCATCTCCCGGATGCGTGGGTCCTGCTCTTGCCTTCTAAATGTACAGTCTCTCTTTCATAAAGAGGGGTGGGATCAGACACAGTTTGTATCCCCAAGAAAGAAGTAGCAGGCCCTAGATTTCCCCCAGTGCCAGTCCCTGCCTAGGCTGGACTTGGGTCTCCCCTTATTCATGAGCCTCTCAGGCATACCCTACTTGTCACGTCCTTCACTGGGACTTGGACCTGGCTGGAGTGTGTGGGGGGGGGAATCCTCCCATCCCCCCAGGTAAAGCCCAGAAACAGCCTCAGTGGGTTTTAGTTCCCCTTCTTCACACCTCCTTGGTGAAGGGAGATGGTGCGTGTAGACGGCCTGTGATGCACTGGTGACACTGAGGTTCTCTGGTCGGTGCTCAAGAGCGGGGAGGAATCAGGGGAGCCTTAGACCAGCTTTTCCCTCGCTATGGCAGCTTCTCTTCCTGACTCGTGCACGAGCTGGGCTGGAGGTGTAGCTCATGATCAGCCTGTGGAGGTGCCCTGCCCAACGCGGGTTCTGTCCAGAGCATGTTCTCACTCTGATCAAGTTCCCTGAGGTCTGCCTCGATGGGCCTTCCCAGCGGGGTGTTTGTCTGGCATGCCAAAGCCCCAGTACCTGGCTGTTGCTTCTTAGTTCTTAGCCAGCTGGAAGTTTTCTGTTTGGATCCTGTGCTCATGGGAAAATGTTGTAAGTGGTGAGAGTTGATCTTAGCATTTAAGAACTTGAAAGGAATACAACATGGCTAATGCTTGGCTTATGGCCAAGAAACCCACTTCCAATCCCAGCCCTGGAGTAGAGAACCTGGTGATCTGGGACACTGGGCCTGTACTTGGTTTGGATAAGGACAGGCAGGAGAACAGGAAACAAAAGGAATAGAAGAAGCTGGACAGACTCCAGAGAAAATGGAGTCAACCACAACACAACTCGAGGAGAGACTCATCGGTGGGGGAAGGGAGATGGAGATGTGGCTCAGTGGTAGAGTACTTGCCTAGGGTAGGTGTACCCTTGGGTTCTAATCCCAGCACTACAAAACAACCAACTTACTGGGAAGTCACTACCTTGAGGACTCTTCTGCTTTGCTGTCCCTGGGCCTCAGCTCTGTGACACTGCGGGGGTCCTTTTCCAGGGCACTTCCTAGCTGTGAGGGAGAGGGTGGGGCAGAGGGAACAGTTTGTATTCCTGAGGGGTAACAGCCCTGGAGAACTTGTTTCTCTCTCTCTCTCTCTCTCTCTCCCTCCAGTCCTGGGGCTTGAACTCAGAGTCTGGGCACTGTCCCTGAGCTTCTTTTTTGCTAGTACTCCATCACTTGAGCCCACAGCACCACTTCTGGCTTTTTCTATTTAGGTGGTACTGAGGAATCAAACCCAGGGCTTTGTGCATGCTAGGTAAGCACTCTACCACTAAGCCACCTTCCCAGCCCCAGAACTGGGTTTTGAGGTAGGAGATAAAGCAAGTCTTCAGGCTCCTCTCCCTGGGATGTAGGTTTCCTTTGTGACACGGACCAGGCTGTCCCTTTGTCACCTGCCACCATCGTTTCTTGTAGGTCACTTAGGGAGCTGAGGCATGCAGTTAAAGGAAATGCTTGGGGTTTCTGAGAAACCAGGCCTGGCCAGGTCTCCAGGTGGTTACTAACGCATCCAACTGGGTCAGGACCCGTGGTCAGTTTGAAGCTGGAGGCTGCAGATACCCAGTACCTAATCAGGTGTGCACAGTGGTGGGGACAAGGGGCCCCTCTGGGAACATGTTGCCTTGCAGGGCGTTGAGGTTTTAGCCTGACTTGGGGTCTGGCCTAGACAATGATTTGACTGCAGGTTGGCGCCATGCAGGTGTCATCTGACCAGTCGCACAGAGCCTGCACTTTACAAGGACCTCACACTCGGTTTTGCCAGCTTGAAAGTCTTCTTGTTGTGGTTTGAGACAGGACTCATTGTGTAGCCCAGACCAGCCTCAACCTCACCGTCTTTCTGCCTCAGCCTTCCTAGTCCTGGGATTACAGGTGTATACCACCACAACCCCACTTAAAAAATTCTTAACACCTTTCCAACCAGGGGCCCTGAAGTTCAATTTTGTATTAGAGCCACAAACTGTGCTGCAGGTCCTGACTAGATGAATTATGTAGATGGTCTGACTGGAACTGGAGTTTGATTAGAGAGGTTGGACTTTGTATAATGACCTCTTGTTCACTTACGCCACAACCCACTGACCCTTCCCAGCCTAGGACCCAGACAAAAGAGATGCAGCTTCTTTCTAGCATGTCTGGAAACAACCTAGGGGTGAATTTAGGTCAGGAGAGCTGGCAGGAGCTAGGGTCTGGATTCTTCATGACCCAGGCTAGAACGTAGCTCAGAGAGAAGTTCTTCCCCAGAGAAGGAACATGTGAAAAATTCCAACACACCATAACAACCAGTCCTGGGGCGCCTGTGTCCTGGAGCTCAGGAGGTCCTCCGACTGAGCTGTTCCCACATACATACTTTGGGACATCCAAGTTAACTGAGCCTCCATGCTTCCCCGGAGACACTCGGGTGGCGGCAGGGAGCCATGCTGGGGATCATTTCTTTTAGCACACCCATGAAATTCTTCCAAGAATCCCTGCTCTCGAGAGACTCCAGTCCTTCACAGGAAGCCTCAGGACTAACACAGGGCTCCCTCACCAATTTAGCAACCCCTGCTCCTCCACTTGGTCCACTAGGCCCCTCTTCCCTGCTATCATCTGGCCCTCTATTTCCTCAGTTTGGTATATAATCATTGTCTTACAGCTTCTGGCGAGTGATTGATTAGTTTGTTCTTTGCTGGATCATGAGCTATTTGAGGGCATGGATTAGGGCTTCAACTTCTCCATCCAACGCAAAATGTCATGCTTTGATAATACAATCGTCTAGCAATAGCTGAACACCTCTGTGTTGATTGTCAAGGAGCAATGCCAGCCTCCTGACATTAAGAAAACTTCTGAGGTGCTTTCCTGTCTTAGCTGTCAGGATGAGAAACAAAACCCCAAAAAGTGGCCACCGGGGAGCCTGTCTACATTCTCGTCATTCACAATGAGACTTCCAAGCTGACCCCTCTCTTGATGGAAAAATGTTTCAAATTTGAGAATTGTCTCTACTCACCAGGTCTTCCAGATTGACAAGCTCCATGTCCAGGGTTAGGGGGTAGTTCATGGCTGCAGGTGTGAGTCACCAGACTGGTCACCGTCTGATGCTGAGAGGTTCTGCGTATGGTGTGGTGCGTATAGAGAGGGGGCAGGCGTCAGCTGCAAATTTAAACAAATGAGCTACGTGCTGTCTCCTGGGGCTGCGTAGGGCCTGCTATTTGCCTCATAGCTCATCTTTTTTTTTTTTTTTTCCACTGGGTCTTTTTCTTTTTCTTTTTTTTTAAGAAAAAGGGAAAACCCCCTATAGCATCAGTGCCAGTCAAGCATTTCAACATCTTTCCTGGCAATGCTTGTCTCAGGTGGGGTTTGAGGCTGGTGCAAAGCTGGCCCTCACTTCTGTTCCCTGATCCTTTGTAAGGGATGAGGGCCTTGTAACAAAACCACCATGGTGGGGGAGGGAGACTCCCCATAGAAAGAGAATGGAGACACGTTGGTTCATCTAGTTGCTTCTCCTCCCGGACAATTCTAGGTCTTCACCTTCCTCACCATCAAGGGGGACCAACCATCCCAATCTGCACAGAGTGAAAGAAAGTCCCTCGTCCTGGGAAATCCCTCAGATTTAGGCAAACCAGAGCTCTTGATCAGATTGTTATTGTTCTCCTTTGGCCCTCACAGGCACAAAACTCCTTACCTGTGTGTGTTTGTGTGTGTGTGTGTGTGTGTGTTTATGCTGGTCCTGGGGCTTAAACTCAGGGATTAGGTGCTTTGCCTTAGCTTATTTGTTCAAGGCTAGCACTCTACCACCTGAGCCACTCCTCTACTTCAGCTGTTAGTGATTAATTGGAGAGTCTCACAGACTTTCTTGCCCAGGCTGGCTTTTCAACTGTGATCCTTAGATCTCAGCCTCTTGAGCAACTAGGATTACAGGCGTGAGCTACTGGTGCCTGGCAAAACTCAACTTTTTCTGCTCAAGTTTGGAAGAGAGAGGTTAGAATTTTGCAAAGGGAAGACAAAAAGGGAATTATGTGAGGCATAGCCATAGCATTATTTTCTAATTGAAAAAAAAGATAGCCAGGTGCCAGTGGCTCATACCTGTAATCCTAGCTACTCAAGTGACAGAGCACTCACCTTATGCTGAAGAGCTCAAGATCCAGGACTGACAAAAAATAAAATAAATGTTCTAACTAAATTAGAACATAGCATTTAATTCAAAAATAACATTTTCTAATTTAAAAAGTAACCATGTTCCATCCACAAATACACTTGGTTGGCAGGGAGATGATCAATGAACTGGGAAAGATTGAGGGAAGGGGTGACACTGTCCAAAAAGAAATATACTCCTGGGCTGGGAAGGTGGCTCAGTGGTAGAGCGCTTGCCTTGCATGCCTGAGGCCCTGGGTTCGATTCCGCAGCACCACATAAGCAAAAAGAAAAAAGCCGGAAGTGGCGTTGTGGCTCAAGTGTTAAAGCGCTAGCCTTGAGCTGAAGAGCTGAGGGACAGCACCCAGGCCCAGAGTTCAGGCCCCACGACTGGACCCAAAAAAAAAAAAAAAACAAGAAATATACTCCTTACCTGACTTATGTCACTGTAACCCCTTTATAATAACAATAAAAATTAAAATAAAAAAATCAACATCACAGAGTGCCCAACTAGAGAAGACAGGGAAGACCATCCTTACCAACTCAGATTTACCCAGAAGGGCCCCCTAACCCAGAAAGGGAAGCTCACTCACCGGTGCCCACAGCTAACCAGCAGCAGCTAGTGTGGAGGTAGATTTGCTAGCTGTGCATTCAGTGGTTTCTCTGCTCTTTCAGACTCAGAGTCCCTGCCTTTTCCTTGACTCTGTGGTATCTAAGGGCTTCTTCTTTTATGCAGCCCTTCTGTAGACAGTTGATCCATTTCCTCTCCAAGCCTCATTTTTGTGCTTTTTTTTCCTTCCATGAGAGCTCATTTCCTGTCTTTGTCCATCATGATGTAAAAATAACACCTGCCCTCAGAGAGAGGTACCTACACAATTTCTTTGCCAAATCTTTGTTATCATCCTGCCCTTCCAGCCAAATCACCATTCTCTGGGGTCCAATCTTTTTTTTTTAATTATTTATTTAGTTATTTTCCTGTATGTGCCAGTATTGGGGCTTGAATTCAAGGCTCGGATGCTGTCCCTTAGCTTTTTGCTCAAGGCTGTGCGCTACTATTTGAGGTATAGTTCCACTTCACATTTCTGATTACTTGAAGAAAAGAGTCTCATGGATTTTTTTCCCTGCCTGGGCTGGCTTGGAACTGTGATCCTCAGATATCTCAGCCTCCTGAGTGGCTAGAATTATATGCGTGAGTCATCAGTGTTCAAAGAGCCTATCCTTTTTTATTTTTTTTGGGTCAGCCCTAGGGCTTGAACTCTGTGCTCTTCAGCTCAAGGCTAGCACTCTACCACTTGAGCCACAGCACTACTTCTGGTTTTCTGGTGGTTAATTGGAGATAAGAGTCTCAAGGAGTTTTCATGCCTGGTTGGCTTTGAACTGTGATCCTCAGATCTCAGCCTTCTGAGTAGCTAGAATTACAGGCATGAGCCACCCACCGCCTGGCTCCTGTCCTTTTTTAAAAGAAAATTTTAAAATTGATTTTACCTATTTCTTGTTTATGTTATACTGAGGAATCGAACCCAGGGACTCATGCACGCTGAACAAGAATTCTACCACTAAGCCAACCCTGTCCTTTAAAGTGTCCTCCTTCCCCAACCCTTCCAGTTCTCTTTCCCCTTCCTTGTCTCCACTGCTCACGTGGAGTCTCCACCTCATCTCCACCACAAGCATCTTTTTCAGGGTTTCTGCCCCTGTCTATGCTGTAGTCTTCCTCTACTTTTCCATCACTCTCTTCAGAAATTGCTCTCAAGGTACAAGAATCACAGAACAAGGGGTCCAAGCTCTTCTTCGGTACTCCTGGTCCTGAACCCTTGGGGAAGCTGTTGTCTCCATGTTGTGTAGATGCCAAGCTTTAGAGCCTGCTCAGCCTTCCATCTGCACCCCCAACAGCCTCACCCCTCTGAGCCATTGGCATTCCTCCCCTTGGCTTTTGCTACTAGGAATACAGGGATCAGGTGGGAGGAAGCATACAGAAATCTCCTAGGAATTGTCAGTGATTTTGAAGACTATATACTTCACCCATCCTTGTCCCTCTCCACCCCCAGCAAATGAAGATTCTTGCCCCCACGTCCTCATTCACTCCCTACCCAACATTATCACAAGAGGGAGAAACAAGATGAGAAACTGAGACGCTGTCTCCATGTAGGATGGCTTAGTGATGAAGGAACTTAGTCCTCTCTTGGAGTCAGTAGGTCTTCCTGTAAGTCATCACAAGAGGGAGAAACAAGATGAGAAACTGAGACGCTGTCTCCATGTAGGATGGCTTAGTGATGAAGGAACTTAGTCCTCTCTTGGAGTCAGTAGGTCTTCCTGTAAGTCATCTCTGTGGGGTTGGCTGATGCTGAGTCCAGACTGTGTCCATCAGTGTGCTCTGAAGATGGATCCCACAGACGCGTGAGCCAGTCCCCTATGCCCCAAACCCACATCCGCAGTGTCTTCAACCATTCTTTAGAGATCTAGTTTCTGGGTCTCTCATCAGCCTGTTCCTTGACCTCTGGGTCGTTTCTGGTGAATGATCCAGATAGTCTGTGACTAGAGTACACTAGGGAGTTATGGGTTCCCTTGTTTTAGATCCATATTTACACAACTTAAGTGGGCTCTGGGCTCTTTTCTCCTTATCAGATGTCTCATGGTGATGGTTCCTGCCGCAACCCCCACCCCCCTGCATTGGTCCAGGCTATAGAGGGAAATCTTTGCGTTCCTGATTTATCTGGTATGAGGGTGACCCATCCACTCTGGGTCTACCTATGTCCTGACAGAAAATATTGACTGGACAAAGAAGCAGAACCTTGTTCCATGGCCATGCTTTTCAAAGGTCAGAGAAGACTTCCTGGAGTAGAGCGTGAGCCGGACATGGAAGGTCAGAGGAGAGGGAAGGCATGGTGTGTCTGGGAGGCACGCAGTGGTTCGGGAGATGATGAAAAAAGGGATGGAGATGGGAATTGGCGGCTCACACCTGACATTCGAGTTCCTCCAGAGACTGAGGTCTGGGCTGGGAATGTGGGTTAGTGGTAGAGTGTTTGCCTAGAATGCATGAGGCCCCTGGGTTTGATTCCTCAGTACCACATAAATGAAAAATTAAAAATAAATGTAAAAAAGAGGCTGAGATCTGAGGATCTAAGTCTGAAGTCAGCCGAGGTGGAAAAGTCTGAGAAACTCTTATCTTTAATTAACCAGAAAAAAGTTGGAAGTGGAAGTGTGGTTCAAATGGTAGGGCACCAGCCCTGAGCAAAAATGCCAAGCAAGAGGACAAGACCCTGAGTTCAAGCCCCGGTACTAACACACACTCACACACACACACACACACACACACAGAATTGTGCTGTGCTGGCTGGCTCAACATGGGTACCCAGTACATGAACAGTGGTCATTCTGTATGGGGTATGGGGATGGTGATGAAGACAATCGTGATGGTGATGGTGGTGGTGGTGGTGAGAGGCAGGAGGAGATCAGAGTGTGCTCTGGACAAGAGAGGATCTCTCTCCTATTCTTCCCACCACTATCCATTTCCTACAATGGATTGTAGGCCCAGAAGAAGGCTTGGAACTATTTCCCAGTAGCAGCAGACGGCCCCTGGTTCATAATTTCAGCTGTGGTAGTACGAACAACAACAAGCCTCAGACCACATAATCCTCTCTCAGAGACATAGATTTGCAAAGGGCAACCAGATACTTGACAATCAATCTGAGGGGAAAATGATGCCTAATCATGGGTTGTTTACCCATACTCACCATGTCCTGAGAGCCAAGTTCTTTACACCGTCATTTCATCCTTCAAACTGTCTTTCGGTGTAATATATTTTTTTTTATCACCACATTACAGTTATGGAAACTGAGCTTCAGACAGGAGTAGGAAATACTATGAATGTGAAGCGCTTACTCAGGCACCTGGGATCTAACAGTACCTAACAAGTCAAACAGGAAGTGGGAGGTAAAGGTTGTCATTGCTGGGCGCCCACGCACAGGTCCTCTGCCA